GTTTGGGGTGATGAAAAAGTTATGGAGATGGGTGGTGGTGATGTTTGCACAACACTGTGAATGTACTTAGTGCTACTGAACTGTACTGTTAAAAATGGTTAAGATGGTACTTTTATGTAATGTGTATTTACATACTTACATTACTGTACCACAGTTTTTAAAAACTGGAATTGCTGTGGCTGGAGTGAACCGCCCTATGGAAAACTTGGAGCGGTAGCTGAATGCCAGACACCCAAGTCTGCCCTGGGTGCGCATTTGGAAACTCTGGGAGATGATTTCTCACCTTTTCGTGTGGATTTTCCTTGTCCCTGGGGAGGTGGTTATGTCCCCAGGCCCTACCAGGGAGGGGAAGCGCCTCTTTTCCATCCTCTGTCCCATTCTGATTGATACTGGGCGGAGCTACACACATGGAATGAAGCAACAAGAGTTGACTCCAGGTTTTGGGGGGCAAGCCAGTGACTGGAGGAGGGAGAGGAGTTTACTATAAAGTCCATTCTTGGGAGAAATCCCAGTCAAATGAGTGCCCCCAGGGGGCCTCTGGGTTTGCAGTTTGTGCCGAGTGTTAAAATAAAATACAGGTAAACACTAAATGCAGGGAAAGACCCTTACCTTGTGGAACCACTGTCTAGATGGTCCTGTGCCAGTGATGTGTGGTTATTTCAGAGCAATGTTCTACTTGCAGTGCTGGGGAGATGGGAGGAGAAATCAGATGAACAGATAGACGTGAGCCCGTTGCTGTTCCCTTGACAATCTTGCGACGCTCTCGCCTAGTCCTGTCCCCGACAGAACTTTCTGTGATGTTGGAGATATTCACTTTGTTTATTTAATACCATAGTCACTGTGGCTATAAAGCTCATGAAATGCGGATAGTGTGACTGAGGAAGTAGATGTTCAGTTTTATTTAATTTTAATCAGTTTACATTTAAACACCCGCCCCCACACACCCCCACCCCCGCCCCCCGGTTAATGGCTGTCTTGGAAAGCCCAGCGCTGGCTCGCCTTCTGGTGTTTGATTCTTGTCCTGTTCACATGACTGTGGACCCTGGAGCTCGACTGGGTTCTGGGAGGACTGAACCTCCTGGGTTCAGCTGGGTTAGACCTGAGGGTCACTCTGGGGTTGTTATTATGGAAACTGGACTCCCCCAAACCTTGTCAAAAGTAGGCCTAGTGTCATTAATTAATTGTTTGATCAATCAGTTACTGATTAACTATTAATACTCAGTTATTTATTAAGCACAATAGGACAGACACTGTGTTGAAAAGTGGGGGTCTTGTAGAGAACAGAGCCAACAGGCGTTCTTGCCCTCAAGGGCCCGGCGGTTGGCAGGGAGGATGAACTCTGGATGAGCAAATACAAGTGTGAATGGAAGCAGGTGAGGCGAGGTCTCACCTCCCACCAGTGGGAAGGAGTCTTGGTGGGGGTGACATCAAATGGATGCACATTTTGTCCCATTCTGTTTTTTTTGTTTTGTTTTGTGTTTTTGCGTTAGGTGGGCCTCTCACTGTTGTGGCCTCTCCCATTGCGGAGCACAGGCTCCGGACGCGCAGGCTCAGCGGCCACGGCTCACGGGCCCAGCCGCTCCGCGGCACGTGGGATCTTCCCGGACCGGGGCACGAACCTGCGTCCCCTGCATCGTCAGACGGACTCTCAACCACTGCGCCACCAGGGAAGCCCCCCATTCTGTTTCAACAGGGACACTTCGTCATGTGGTCCCTGAGCTCTGATTCAACTCTTGCAGTCCTTTTCTTCCGACGTCCTTCTCATTAGCCTCTCCTGGGCCCATCTGGTGCCTTGACATGGTGACTGAACTTGTAAAAATGGTGAGCCCTTGTCTCACCCCCCAGAAGGGCTTGAGAGGAGGGGAGGGGAGGGGAGAGCTGGGGAGAGTGGGCAGGGCTGTGGGGCAGCTCACTGCCCACCCCCAAGGATGCCTGAGGCAGCTGATCGGGGCTCCCCCTGAAAACGATGCTGTTACAGACCTGACCCGAGGCTGGGATGGGGACCAAGGCTGGAGCCCAGTCAACCCCCGGGCTCCAGCCCCGCTGGGCAGTGACTCTGTCCCGTTGGCTGTGGGCCCTTCCTTGGCCACCCCCAGCTGGGTGCAGTTTGCTGATTTAGTAAATGTCCACGGAGCATCTTCCAAACACCCACTTTCCAGGTGCCCTGGGGTGACGCTTGGGCTGCTGCCTGGTTGTTGGCCCCCTGGGTGCCTGGGTCTGGGGCGCTTCTCAACTCTGGCTGCGCTTGGTGATTACGTGGGGAGTTTTTGAAAGGTACAGACACCTGGGTCCCCCTGCCCCCGACCAATGAAATTAGAATTTTGAGGGTAAAGGCCTAGGCATATTTTTAAGGCCCCCTGGTCAGGATACTGTCCCGTGGATCCAGGGCATGGGGGCAGGCCTGGGAGTCCTACCATCCTCTGGGGGGCCCCCTGGCTGCCCCAGTGGAAGCAGCAGCCCGGTTTCTGCCGGGATATCCCAGTAGGGCTGTGGGGCTGGACACCCCCGCCTCCCCCCATCACACCCCCCTGAAATGAGTCCTGGGGACCTGCCGGTGCCTCAGGGATCGTGTTCTCGTGCACAGAGATGTGGCCGTGAGCTCAGGTGGCCCCCAGTGGCTTCCAGCTGTCACTGCTTTCACACACAGGACTGGAAACTTGCTTGGAGATGCGGTCAAACTGAAGTCCACTGAAACCGGAAGCCTAGAGCAGTAGGGGTGGGGGTGGGGGTGGGGGTGGGGGTGGGGCGGGGAGGAAGGAGGGTGCTCCAGGGAGCTTTCCTAAGTTATGCGCTGGCTCCGAAATCATCACTGCCTTCAGCGAAAAGAATGAAGTGTGTTGGAAAAGCAAGAACTTCCTTGCGCTCGGCTGGGCGGTGAGGGGCTAAGTCCCCCGGGGCGGGTGGGGGATCGTTCCTCGTCCCTCGGCATCGAAGCTGCGGGGTTTGGGCCCCTCGGCCCGGCTCAGCCACGGCCAGAAGGGTTTAATGAGGGCCGTCATCTCCCGGCACACGGAGAAAACCCCAGAGCAGACACATTTTCACATTCAATCCTAAATGCTCAGAGGAACCAAGTTTTTCGGAGATTACACATTTTTCCAGCATTATGCTGTGCTTGAGCCTGCAAACAATGAAGTGGAATTTTTCTTTCTTTTCCTGTAGTTTCTGGGACCACACAGAGGATGCTTTTGGTAGGCGGGGTGCTAGGGGGCTGAGGGCTAGTGTGGACCTGGACCGAATTAAATGCTCAGGCTGCCTTCTTACCCAGCTTGTGGGCCCTTTTGGAATATGTCTGGGTGGGTGCGGTTGCTTCAAATTGAAGGCAGGTGCCCGCGAGACTGGCTGCTTCTGTGCGCTGGGAGGGCCCTGCGGGGTCTAGGCGAGCACACGGCTTTAAAGTCCAGTCCTGGCCCTTCCTGACCGTTGGAACTGGGAGAAGTCACTTAACCTCTACGAGCCTCTGTTTTCTTATTTGTGAAAAAGGAATGATGTATATAGTGGGGCCTTGATGGGGAACGTGGTGGGAATGAGAGAATGAAGAACCGGGAAGGGAGGTGTCTTGCACCTGCTTTGCCCCTGACCCCTTGAGCAGCCCTTCTTTTATGTTTTACTTATTGGGCTTTCTCATCAGTTTTCCTTAAAAAGCCTCCCACCCAAGCGTCTCAAAATCCTCACACCCAGGCCGCACTGCAGACCGATTAAATCAGAGCCTCTGAGGGTGGGACCCAGGCACAGGTCATTTTTCACAGGTCCCTGGTAATTCTAACACCCGGCCGAGGTTGAGACCCATTGCCCTACAAGACCAGGTGAGACGGGTCAGTGAAGTGTTGGGACACTCCTGCTGGGGCAGTGCTGACGGCGGGCCCTCCTGGAATTCCGAAGGGTTGCCTTGCCTGTCCTGGCACGTGAGGTTTTGGGTGTCATGGTTTGGACCCTCAGGGAGGATGCCAGAAGTCCATTACATTTAGCCATTTGTAATTTTCTCAGGAATGTAGCTTTGAACTCTACTTGCCACAAGGCCGGAGACTGATGGAGTCACTAGGCTGGGCACCAGGCCCCCGGATGCCCCCCTGAGCAGCACACAGCAGCCCTGAGGACGTGATGCAAAGCCCATTTCTTTCTGGGAATCGGTCCCAAAAGGGGGCTAGCTGCTCGTGCTGGGGTGTTGGAAATGAAGAGAAAGTGACGAGGTTCAAGAGAGCTGTCGTTCCCAGTCAGAAAGAGAAGCTGGGGTGACCCAGGAGCCGGCTTGCCTCTGTACTGTGAGCAGGGAGGGCCGCTGGGGGGTGAGCTCCTGGTTGGTCCCTCTGAGCACGCAGGAGCTCTGGATTGTCGCTGTCTGTTCTGGGCTGAGGTCCAGCCCTGGGTCTAAAGGACTTTCCAGCTTGTTGCCAGGGTTTCTATGTGATATACAAGTGCACCGTAAACAGGATTTTTGAATGGTTCCAATTCTGCTTCCTTATTTCTGTCATTAGCCCTGTGGACCGGGGCATCTTTTTAAAAAGATCTGAACACAAATAGCGTGAGATGCGTCTCCAGAGGCTCGCTGCTCCCTTTGCTGGTGTTGGGAAGGAGGGTGCCGAGATGAATACACAGGGGGCCATGGGAGGCGAGGGCACCCGGGGTGTTTCTTTAAAACACAAACCAAATGGCCCTGACTTACCTTGGAAAAACCTCCACAAAGCAGCGAATTGTATAAGTTTGTCGGTGAAATAAAAGCCCAGTTTGTGAACAATGTCCACATCCAATGAGATTCATGAGCCGAGTTTTTCTGAGTTGTCTGTCTCTCCAGCCTTTAGTGGGAGGGGACCTGGGGACAGGTGGATGCAGGAGCTGGAGGAAGGAGGGGGGCAGGGCTGGACTAGAGGAGACCAGTGATCCCCGCTGGGTCAGCCTGGAGAGAGAAGTGACCTGGAGTGTCTTCATTCGGGTTCAGCCAGGGGGGCCGGGGGTGTTCGCAACAGCAGCCAGTAAAGAGAGGTGCCACCTTTTTTCTTCGGCAGTTATCGTGTGAATGTCAGACCCAGATATGTCACCAGGTACAAGACGGTGACACAGTTGGAATGGAGGTGCTGCCCTGGCTTCAGGGGAGGAGACTGCCAAGAAGGTCCCAGAGACCCCAGGAAGACTCCCCGCCCCACACCCGCTCGGCCGAGAAACAGCGTGAAGAAAGCCACAGGTAACTTCTGACTTGTGCTCTGCTTTGCAGGCCGCCACTGCTCCTTCAGACTACAGGGTTTATGAGTTACAGTGTGGAGCTTTCCAGGTTCTTCCCAAAACATGCATATATGCCTGTAGTAGACACATGGCACACAAATGTATTTGCAGAAGCAGTAGCGATCGGAAGACAGACTTTTAAAA